CAAAATAAGGTACCCCTAAACCCTAAACCCTCAACCCTCAACTCTAAACCCTAAACCATAAACCCTAAACCCTAAACCCTAAACTCCTAAATCTCGGAAATTCGCGTATTGTGAGCAGATGAACCCGAAACCCTATATAGGGTTTAGGGTTTAGGGTTTTTGGGTTTAGGGTTTAGGGTTTAGGGTTCAGGGTTTATTTAGGGTTTAGTATAAACCCTAAACAGCCTTATCACGCCTGAACAGCACCTAAACCGTCCCTTACAATCAAAAAGGCCCTACAGTGAACCGAGAAAGTTGGAACATGGATTTAGGATGATTAGTGCTAGAATCCCTTATGCTTTAGCTCAAGGGCATGGGGAGTATGATGTACCCTAAACCCTAAACCCTAAACCCTAAACCGTAAACCCTAAACTCTGAGTATGATGTTCCAACTTTCTGGCTTCTACCATAAGCTGTCCTGGAGGCCTTTGAAAACTTGGGCTCCACGCTGCTGCCAGGCAGCCTGCATAGCCTAAGCCCTAAACCCTAAACCCTAAGCCCGAAACCCTACACCCTAAACCCTAAACCCTAAACCCTAAGCCCAAAACAGAAGGGCGTCGGAGGATTAGGTGTTCCCCGGCCCCACGACAGGGTTCAGGGTATGGGGCTTCAGGTTAAACCCAGAGAACCCAAGATTTCTTAACTAAGCAACATGCCTTAGCTTAAGGCACAGGCGCCTTATTGCTATGATTTCATTAAGGTATAGTCCTTCAGTAAGGGGTCTTGGGCTTCCTGGGAAGCACCATGACGGTGCCCTAGAATTCGGATGTGCTAGGCTCTGAAGCCGACAGCCAACTCCCCGCTCACCGCAACCTTACAACCGTAAAGCCCTAAAGCTCTAAACCCTAAACCCTAAACCCCTAAACCCTAAACCTTAACCGCAAAGCCCTAAAGCCCTGAACCCTGAAGGGGCCTAGGGTTTAGGGTTTAGGGACCCTGTATATTCAAATCATTACTGCCCCTAATAAACCCTAAATCCTAAACCCAAAACCCAAAACCCTAAACCCAAAACCCAAAAACCCTAAGCCCTAAACCCAAAACCCTAAACCCCTAAACCCCTAACTGGCTTTTTCTTGACCACCCGGCCTTGCCTCTCATCTGCAGTTTCCCACGTGTCCCCTGAAGTGGTGAAAGCTTTGTTGAAGTCAGTTAAGGAATTGTCTTGAGCTTGATTTAGGGGGTTTTGGAGGTTCACCCTAAATCTTAAACCCAAAACCCGTTCCCTTGAAGCCCGACGGGGACTTGTAATGAGGACTGCTTAATTTCGAGGTTTGATTGCTTAGTCTTCATCGGGGCTTCACGGTTCGGCATGATTTCAACCGACTGGGTCTAGGGTTTAGGGTGTCTACGCCGTACACCTGGCACGCCGGGAACTCTAAACCCAGGGTTTTCAGTTCAACCCAAGATACTGAAGCAGCGAGTTCTCCAGGGTGCAGCAGCTTACTCCAGGAGCCAGGCCAAACCCAAAACATAAGAAGTGCGATAGTCACCTGCCCTGGACGAACCACCCGAGCAGCCTATCGTATCACGTAGAGGTCGGACAATTTAGTATAGTTTCCCCTTGTAGTTCTTATAGAAGTATACTATAATGGAACCCCGCACCCTTTCTAATTATGGTTGTTAAGGCCCCGAAAGTAAGCCTCTCTCCAGAGTCATCAGGCGAGAGTTTGCGCCTGCCGGATGGCCTCCTCGTCTCAAAGCGGTCTTTGCACGCCAAGGCGTCCTTGTCCTTGTTGCAGTGCTCTTTATAGTTGTGCTCATGTAGGTCCGGTACTGTCGCTGCTGCAAGTCTTTCTGTCACTGGTACTACTACTACTACTACTACTACTACTACTACTATTACTACTACTACTACTACTACTACTACTACTACTACTACTACTATCGTCGTTACTTTTTTGTAGTTGTTCGTTTGAACATTAGTACCCGTATGGATACTAACATCGATATTACTATACCTAGTAGTTGCAAACCCACAAATCCCGAGCCTAAACCCCTAAGTCCTCGAACCCTAAATCCTAAACCCTAAACCCCTAAGTCCTCAAACCTTAGACTCGTGATGGAGAGCCGGATCCCAGTGAGGACTCGACTTGGTGCAGGGCTTTGGAGTTTCAGGCTTAACGGTTTAGGGGCTCTTAAGCTTAAACCCTAAACCCTAAACCCTAAACCCTAAACCCTAAACCCTAAACCCAATGCTTTCGGCTTTTAGCTTCCGCAGGGCGGTAGTGTCTAGTGCTTTGGCGGTGCAGAAGGGATCCTTCTGCCCGCGGTGCGGCAGGCGGCAGAGCTAGACGAGAGCCACAGCTTCCTGGCTTGTTGGATCTAGGGTAAGGGAAAAATTAAAATCTTTGGAAGCCCTTGAACAACCTTGGACTCTTAAAATGCGTTTAGGGACGGTTGTGCTGCATTCGTAGATGAAGTCGAAGCCCGGCAGTTGATGCAGATCGCTTGCATACTGCATTTGGGGGGGTCGGATTGAGGGTTGTTTCGGATTCAGGGTTCAGGGGTTCGGGATTTCATGCTTGGGGTGTACTGCGGGGTCCTGTACTATCCGAACAATATACACCAACAACCTTTTCTAACTATTGAGGCCCAGAAAAGGGCGTGGCTTCGGGTTTGGATGAGGCAATCTCCCTATACTGGAAAAAAGGTGGTTGGGCCGTTGCGAGTTTGAGAAATGCTTTTTGCAAGCCAACAGAACGAAAGGCCTCAACGGCCTGGCCCAAAACTGCAAATCTAACACAGCCCTGAGTGAAACCTGAACCCTGAACCCTAAACCGCTCTCCCAGGCAGCGCGCATAATTCGTTGGGGGCCATGCTGGACACAGACGAGGCCGTCTACGGGCTTGGACCTTCGCTTAGAGGGGCAGATGACTTAGCCAAACAAGGATTTTGGGTTTAGGGTTTGGGGTTTAGGGGTTAGGGTTAACAAGAGAGTGATAAATACCGAAACTGGTGTTATCCAACTTGTAGCTCGAAATGCAGTAGGCCCATGGTACTTCCAGGTGCTTCAGGAACGACTCAGCTTGCATGCAATCAGTTACCTACCAAACTCTTGTAGAACCCAGAAAGGAGCCTTCAAAGGAGCACTAAAAGGATCCCTTTAAAGGAACCCCCTTTAAAGGACCCCCCCCCCCCCAAACCCTTCACCTCCGCTTCCAAGTATAGACCTTTTCAGACGTCTGAACTCAAAGCCCCGAAGTACCAAGCCCAGAGGGCTACAACCGAAGTCCTGCACCCCAACACCCACCCTAAACCCGAAACCCTAGACCCTAAAAAGTTTAGTGTTGAGGGGGAGCTCGCAAGTCTGGACCTTAGTTCCTAGAAGCCCTAAGCCTGCTTAGACAGAATTAGTAGGGTTTAGGGTCTAGGGCTTTATGGCACTTACGGCTTAGTATGGGGTGTTGGGGGGTTTCGGGTCGAGGGTTTACAAACCCTAAAGAAACCTTAGAAGAACTTACCCGGAAGCCTCTTAAAATTCAGAAAATCCTCAAAATTCCCGTTTTAGGGTTTAGGGTTAAGAGTTTAGGGAACCTTGTAGAGACAGGCAAGTCTGCATTCTCTCAAGAACCCGAAGGGAATCCTTAAAGAGGTCCTTAGAAAAAACAACCCTATAAGACTATAAGACCTTCTTCGAAAGCCCTAAGCCCCAAACCCTAAGCCCGAAACTCCAAGAAGAACAGGGTGGTTATATGATTATTATGACACGAATCAACACAAAAAACACGGGCCCCCACAACGTACCTTTCTG